CAGCCTTACGTAGGTTACGTATAGCAGCCTTACGTAGTTTACGTGTAGCAGCTTTAAGTACGTTAAGTATAGCAGCTTTACGTAAGTTACGTATAATAGCCTTACGTAAGTTACGTATGGCAGCTTTACGTAAGTTACGTATGGCAGCTTTACGTGGATTACGTATAGCAGCCTTACGTAAGTTACGTATAGCAGCTTTACGTAAGTTACGTGTAGCAGCTTTACGTAAATTACGTATAGCAGCTTTAAGTACGTTAATTCTTTTTATGCAGCATTTATTAATTAAATTTACTAATTAGATTTACTAATTAGATTTACTAATCAAATTACGTACGGTAAAGCACGTGTTATAGTCGAGCTATAGCCGAGCTAAGCACGTATAGCAAAGGGACGTGCAGCATACAAGGTTTCTTTTCGTGCAGCATTTATTAATTAGATTTATTAATTAAATTTATTAATTAGATTTATTAATTAGATTTACTAATCAGATTTACTAATCAGATTTATTAATCAGATTTATTAATTAGATTTATTAAGCGAAGCGTTCCTTTTTTGTTTCGCGTCGAGTTCGTGTTTTAAATATTATAATTTACTTTTATTAAATCGAAGCATTATATCGATTATTATTAAGCGACGCGTTATTTTTTTTATTTCGCGTCGATTTATTGTTTTAAATATTATAATTTACCTTTAATAAATCGAGGCAATGCTCCGATTACGATTAAGCTATACTTTTATTTTTATATAAATACTCGCTCCTTTTCCTTTTCCTTTTTTTTTTTCATTATTACTATAACTACTTTCTATTTAACTTCTCAACTTCAATTTCAATACTCAACTTCTTAACTTTAACTTTAACACTTAACTTCAACCTTAATACTTAACTTTTTAACCTTAACTTTAATACTTAACTTCTTAACTTTAATACTTAATTTCTTAATTAACCTTAACACTTAATTACAACTATACTTAATTTAAGTAATTATTTTCCTTTTGATTCTTTGCTTTTTGATTTTTTGCTTTAAGCTAATTATTTTTTTTATTTAGCAATGTCGATTCCTTTTTTTTATAACGCTATAATCGAAGTCAACCTTTTTGGCACCGGTGGTAATAAGTTAATCAACGAGATACTTGGTCGCTATAAGGATTTTGTGGTCGTTTATGCTAATGGTAACGTTATTAATTTAATATTTACTTGCTATGACGAAGAGGATACCGCTTTGTTTTTAAAATTAATCGGCCTCGATTACGAATAGAAAGGTCGCAAAGGTTTTATCGACGAGTTCGGCATCAAGCATTACGGTGCTAATAAAGTTAATAATAACATTTATATTCTATGATTATTAATTGATTTTTTATTTAGAAAGAGAGCGCTTAGGTCTTTTATTTCCTCGATCACTTTGTCTTTTTCCTTAACTTAATTAGAAAGCAATTCACTTATAAAGATGTTAAGGTTCGATTGATTTTAGGTGATCTTACTCTTAAGCTTTTCGATAGCGATTATATCGAAGCTAAAAGCATTTTGAAAGAGCTATTGATGCTATACCTTTTCATTATCGATAGCACTTTAACATATAAACGCTTTACTCTTAAGTTCTCGGATAAAAATGAATTTAGGTAAAGCAATAAGTGCTAAAAGCTAAGAGAGCTATTTAAGTCAGACGAGATTTATTTGAACTATGCTTATAAGCAAGAGCTTAGGCTAAAGGCGGAGACCGAGTTAAACGTATTCTACGTAATTGCAAAAGGACGGGTCTTTATCAACTCTTTGTAATTAGTAGACTTAGGCTAAAGAACGGGTCTTTACTAACCTTTAGGCTTTTGTAATTAATAAATTTAATTAATACTTTGAGTCTTTGATTAGTAAATGTGATTAGTAAATGTGATTAATAAATGTGATTAGTAAATGTGATTAGTAAATGTGATTAGTAAACTTGATTAGTAATTATGCATATGTATATTTTTATGTATATAAACCTTATGGAGTAACCTTACGCCTTATAGGGTTTCCTTATAAGGAGGGGCAGAATTTTGTACCCTCCGTGGGTTCCCCCGTAGGGAGGACCCAAAACTCCGTGGGGCCCCATGGGGCCCCATAGAGCAGCCTATCGTCACCGGCAGGCAATACCTCGTAAACGCACCTCCCGCACTAGGACCCGCCTCTCCATCTTCAGGATATCCCGGATCTCGATCCGGATTCCGGATCGAACAACTCCTATGGTGTCTGGTACCGGTAGTCAATACCTCGTGATTCCAAGCAAAGCTTACCTGTGCCAGCCAGCCAGCCAGCCTACGCAGCCGTGTCGCGTCTCGATACGCGAGTCGGGAGTGTGGCGTAGACGTATCGGGGGGATTAGGGACGATCGGGGGCCTTTCTTCCTTTTCTTATTTACTTTCTTTTTCATCTTGCAATTTTCTCAGTTTGCACTATCTTTTGCCGTTTCTCCGTCCTTCTTGAAAACCCCGAGGGTTGATAGTCGAGACCGCGCTCCGGTCAGGGGGGAAGCAAAGTTATGGCGGGTTTTCCAAAAGTCCAGTCAGCGGGATTGGTCGTGGTACGTAATCACATCACTTTGTAAAAAAGTTCAGAGCACGATGTGAGTCAATTCGAGTAGCATATTATCCGCAATCATTCATCACATATACAGGTTTAGGAGGAAAAAAATCCAGTTCGTACGGCTTTACTGGCTCGCCCCCTCCCGTAAATCTAGGAATACAAATTTTCGAAACCCGCGAGGAAGGAAAAGCCTTATCATGACTTCAAAGAAAGCCCGCACATGTGCAGTAGAAGGCACAATTCCGGCGGAAAGATCAAAGAGCATCAACGGATGCGTATTCCACCCCCAAGACGCCTGATTATCCGAACTGTACTCCCACCCCACGCACTCAGATATCGTAGCTCTTTATCGGACCCTCGGCACTCAACGGCTGCACGTTTGACGGCGCTGGGGCAGGAGCCTGGAACGACATCTTCTCCACACGTGCGCCCATCAGCGCATCTTGAGCAATCTTGAGCCCTTGGTCGCCGCCGGTCTTTGCTGACATCCTCAAACCTTCTTGAGCTTCGCGAACACGCTTCTTGAAGGCCAGACGGTCCAGGTATAGTTGTTGGCGGCCCCGCTCCAGTTCTCGACGCTCGGCTTGGATGATTTGCTCCATTTCATTGAATTGCTTGAGCTTGAGCTCCATCTTCATCATTGTGGCATTGACAGCGGCCGAGACGAGTCGAGTCATCTCCCGCTCCTCATGTGAAGCGAGACCCCCAGCTCTCGCAGCTACGGAAGCCAGTGGGACGGTTGCGAGTGCATTGAGTGAGTTTGTCGTAGTGGTGGTTGTGGTCGTGGTAGTTGTATGTTGGATATCGATCTCCATCGAGTCGACGTTCTCCTTCTCCTTGCCCTTTTCAGATAATCGAGGCTTCTCTAGAGAATCACGCAAGCTCTTCTTCAGAGCCTCTACTGATTTTCCCGCAGCAGCAGCAGTTACACTAGGCTCGGTGAGACCAGCCAAGAATCCGATTACCGACATGACAGGATTGTCTGCTCGGCTGAATGGTATCAGCCCCTGTTGTGAGCCGAGCAATCCGATACCTGTTGACTTGACAGGCTCGGCATCAAGATACTTGTCTTCAATCTCAAATTGCAAGAACTTGACCACACACTCCTCCGTGGTCCTAGTTCCAACATACTCTGCAATTTGCTCCCAATCCTCATCGTATTTCTCCAGAGCTTCGATAAGCTTAAGAACTTCACCATCACTCCAAGGTGCGTCGCGGTCTGGAATTGCCGAGTATGCCGGGTTTTCAATCTTGGTGTAGTTGATCGCCGAATGACTAGAAGGCATTCGTCCTTCCAAGAGACAGTTGGGGCAGATGTCGTACTTAATCTTAGCACTTCCACTAGAAGCCGATTCGACTTGAGAGCTGTGGTGGTAGACACGAGTGCAGTCAACCCCGCACATGTAGCAGTTGACCTTTGCGATCGATGGCTTGACAAATTCTTCGATGGCCTTTGACACTGAAGTTCCGTTCGTCGCGGGAGCTTCTCCGTTGGCCTTCTCCGAAGACTTCGTCGTAATCTGTTTTACCTTGGCGGTTGGCTCATAGATATTGCGTCCGATTTCCAAGTTCAAGTCGGATTTAGGCACAGGTCCAGCGGCAGCCTTTGCATCAGTGTCTGCGCTTCTCTTTCCTTCAAGGACTACCTTGTCTGCGACAGGTTGCCAGGGTTGGAGTCCACGAGGAGTATCAGCGATGATTTTGAAATGGCCTGTGAACGGTGGTCCAACTGCGGATGGACGAGTATCTGTGTCAACCTATAGTTTGTTAGAAACTAGCGATCCCAAGAAGCTGAGATACAATACCTGATAATTTATAAGACCCCATTGCTCAAGGAAGCCATGCACGCGCATGATGGCACACACATCTCCGGCCAGATTTCTACGGCAAGCAGTAACTGTCAAGTACTCAACCGGATTAAGACGGTATGTGTTGATCATGAAATCGCGGTAATCCTTGTAAATAGCTGGGGTCTTGCTACGATTGCGGCTGTTGAAGAATTCGGGGAGGCCTTTTCGCTCGATGGAATTGATCTTGTGCATGTCAAACCAGGTGCTGTAGCTTGGTAGGATGATTGAGTGTGTTTGAGGGATAAGGTGTGCGCGAGCTGCTTCTTCGATTGAAGCCTTTGACTTCTCACTCGTGGCGCTCTCTCCCTCCTCTCCTGGCGCACCGTTATTTTGCACTGCATCTCGAGCTTCGCCCATTTCTTCGTCCTTGATCTCGTCTCCTTCCCGTCGAGGGGCATCGGGGGCATCCAGTGGATTGTCTGAGGTAGTATTATCCTTGACTTCAGATCCAGCAGCAGCAGTACTTTCGGCCATCGAGATGTCGGCTTCAGGTTTGTATTAGCAGTGTGTATAGCTAGCTGATGGAGTAGAATGAAAAGTCCGCACCTGCACCCTCTCCAGGGGTATCTTCTCTTTGCAGCGGTGGTTGGGCGAGAATCGAGCCTGGCGTCGCGCCGCCCGCATCAGAGCCAAAGTTTACTGAATCGTCCTCCATGATTGATAGCGTTGCACGGCGATACGATACAATCTAAGTTGTCGCGAAGGGTCCTGGGTCGATAGGACTTGTGTATTGCGCGCCAAAAGCGTGGAGAGCTCAGAGCTGGCAGAAGTTAATCATGCGCTTAAGGATTTTCGTGCGATCCTAAAAAAAACCAAGGCAACCCGTGGTGTTGATGGTCAGGAAGGCGTGGGCGCGCAAGTTGGGTCTCGTTGATTAAATCGATAGCCAGCAGCTCGTTCACACTCGTCGCGGTCGATTTCACGCGAGGCTAAGTTCAAGATCACGTGAACAACTAGCGGATGGCCCTTCGGAACAATATTAATCCGAAAGCAGAGCAGGCCTGCGCATCTTGAATCATGTATCTGTCAGACCTTGTTTCTCTACAGCCCTTCTAACCTATTGATCCTCATTATATACTTTAAACAAACTTCACTCCGTTTCTCTTCCAGCCGGGTGCATTATCTCCTTTCAAATACACTAGTAGAGCGTTGAAGAGCAAGCTTTCATATAAGCAACCCTTCTCTTTGCCACTAGTATTTCCCCACTGCCTCGGACTTCCAAAGGCAAACTGAAGTGGCGTCGGAGACTTGAACTCTCCTTCATTCACACACCTCAACATGATATCACGGTCCGGACTCTTAGTACTACGCCAAGTGCGGACGCAACTACGAACAAGAGCAGGACCTACACCTGTTGCTTCGATTTCCGCTCTCGCTCGATTACTCTCTTCACTAGCTGTTCTGGAACAGAGGGATGGGAAGCTCAATCATGGATCTCTAGGCGCAGTGACAGCTGCTCAGAAGCTGGGAGGATCGGTCACAGCCTTTGTTGCAGGAGGGAATATCAAGGCGGTTGCAGAGGCAGCGTCGAAAGTCTCAGGTGTTGAGAAGGTCGTTTCAGTCGATAGCGCAGCATATGACAAGGTATGTGAACTTCTTACATTGTTATCAAGCAAGGCAGATAGATATTGATATGGTATGGTATGCAGCAACTACCAGAGAACTTTGCCCCACTACTGGTGGAGAATATCAAGAAAGGAGGATACACACACATCATCATGGGCCACACGGCATTCGGCAAAAGCTTGATGCCTCGCATTGCAGCACTGCTCGACGTACAGCAGATCTCCGACATTACAGGCATCGAGGACGAGAAGACATTTATGCGGCCTATTTACGCTGGGAACGCTATTGCTACAGTTGAATCATCGGACGATATCAAGATCATCACGGTTAGAGGGACAGCTTTTGCAGCAGCGGCGGCCGAGGGAGGTTCTGCATCGATCGAGGATGGTTTAGACCCAAAAGCTGAGAGCACTACGGAATGGGTATCAGAGAATCTTACCAAGTCCGATAGACCTGACTTGGCAACCGCCGGAAAGGTTGTTACTGGCGGCCGAGGATTGAAGTCCAAGGAAGAGTTCGACAGAATTATGTTGCCACTTGCGGATGCACTAGGAGCAGCCGTAGGAGCGTCAAGAGCGGCCGTTGACAGCGGATATGCTGACAACAGCTTACAAGTTGGACAGACTGGAAAGGTGATAGCACCTCAACTGTACCTCTGCGCAGGTATCTCGGGAGCGATCCAACATCTGGCCGGAATGAAGGATAGCAAGGTCATCGCTGCGATCAACAAGGACGCCGATGCACCTATCTTCCAAGTCGCCGATGTTGGTCTGGTTGGAGACCTGTTCGATAAAGTGCCAGAGCTTACCGAGAAACTCGGCAAACAGTAGTAATATTATATATGTATACATGGGTTTTATGACAATATCCCGTTTCAATCAAGAACAGCCAGCATGTCTCTCACATTTGTGAACTTCTCTCTCACTTTACTCATCTTGAGCCCGTTACTCCTTTCCACAACATCGATCTTTTTCCAATCCTCCCAGCTCACCCTCCTACATCCCCGCTTCTCAGCTTCATCCTTAACCCCCTCCCAACCTAAGTGATCTCCCTCCTCAACACGTAGAAACGGAACCCGATTGTACCAGTCCTCAACAATCGAATCCGCCGTGGCAAATGCATCGTTCATCGTGCTCGCAATAACCCCCGTTGGCCCGCGCTTAACCCATCCAGCGCAGTACATGCCGTCAACCCGCTTGCTCTCATTCCCCATCTCAAGCACAACACGACCAAGATGATCATTAGGAATAATACCGGAGCGGTCATCAAACGGGATTCCAAGCTCGGCGAACTCAGAGAGTGCTTCTGATTTATAGCCGATAGATCGGAACGCCAGCGCTGCAGAAATCTCCACTTTCTCGTCGGTCTTCACAGCTTTAGCATCTAATTCAAACGGGCTTGGAACAAGCGTCGTCCTTTCAAAGGCCACACATCCCAATCGAGACGGCGATTTGACATTGGGCATGAATGAAGTGGGAGACAAGCAAAAGTCCAAAGACCACCGTTTCGGCGCACGTGAAACTGCAGCCTCCGACCCCTTCCTCAAAACCTCCATAATCCTCTTCGTCGGTCTCGGTAAGTCTGTAATATCCTCCGGTATAAGCGATTCATCCACAGAGTCAAAAGCCACCGAGGGGAACTTCATCAGTTCTCTAACCTCCTTAATCGTAAACGCAGCTTGCAGAGCCCCCCTCCTACCAACCACCCTCACTCTCTTCACCCTGCTCTTCCGTAGCGTCTCGATAGCATTCGCCGTGATATCAGTCTTCCTCAAAATTTCGGGATCTTGCAACAGAATACGCGCCACGTCCAAAGCAACATTTCCCTGACCGATGACCACCGCTTCCTCCCCTAGCGTCAGCTCCGGTGCGAGGTCTGCGTATTCCGGCAATCCGTTATACCAGCCTACAAACGCGCGAGCAGAGTATATCCCCTTCAGCGTCTCCTCCCCGGGAATCCCCAGGGCGCGATCTTGCGAGGCCCCGTACGCGAAAAGAACAGCATCGTAGTGCGGCAGCAGCGTCCTAAGCGGCAAGGCACCTACCTGGCAGCCAATCGAGATGTTGCCTACGAAGTTGAAGCGCGGAGAGCTGGCCACTTGTTCAAATTTTTCCTGGCAGTTCTGCTCCCCTTGTTAGATCTCTTGGGTGCGGAGAGGGAGACATAATGAAGGAGAAGGAAAAGCAAGACAGACCTTGACCTCTGGATGATCGGGCGCGACTCCAAATCGCACCAGCCCGAACGGAACGGGCAGATGTTCGTACATGTCTACCACAGCATTCTCGATTTTACTCATCACCTTGTATGCGGTGTAGAAGCCAGCTGGGCCGGACCCGATGACGGCCATTCGGAAAGGCCGCCCATCTTGCGGGTGGACTTTTGCTGCAAATGTCCGTCGCTGTGTCGCAGTGATATTCGTTTGCTGTGAAATCCGCCTCCTCGTTAAGGAATTGGCGCATCTGGTGCAAATCCACGGTCTCGCAATCTTCTCCATCTGTCTCTTTCTCTCTCGCTTGAAATCGTCTGCAACTTTCCCGGACACCTTTTTCGGACTTTGCTTACTGTACGTCCATACTGACGTATCGTTATCTTCCCGAGGTCTATCCATTTAAGCGTCTGTTGTCCAGCCGACCAGCGTCGAGGACGTCCAAGCTCCGAACCAAAATCAACAAATCCCCTCCGCCCTGGCGCCAGTCCAGGCTCCAAGCCTTATATATCTATCTTTTCCCCTCCGCATCCTTCTGCATTCCTGGTCGCATTGCTGAACATTCTTTATTCGTCCTTTCCACCCAAACTTCAGTCGTTTCTTCCACAATGGGTGTCCAGCCGCCATACATGTACAATGCTATCAAAACTGAAGATCCGCGATCTCCTTACAAGAAATTCGACCCAAAGGCCGTCACCCGCGCGAGTTGGACTTCACAAGCGCCGCGACCGAAGCAGGAGGGCCCATTGGTTTCTTTCAATAAGCATCCAGAGTAAGCTCTCATATATATATATAGACATATATGTAGGAATATATATATATATATATATATATATATATACATATCCTGGTATCATTGGAGGGAATTTGCTAACAATGTCTCTCAGCTCCTACTTGGTGATGCCGTTTGGACTGTCAACTGCGAAACCCATGAAGCCGAGCGTCAAGAAATGGATAAAATGGACGCGCATCATACAATTGGGCTTCAGGTGTTTCCAACTGGTTGCGGCTTTGGGGCTGCTGGTCTTGATGATCTTGATTAAGGGCGTTGACGCTGCTGCAGGATGGATTATGAGAGTAACTGTAAGTTGCAGATATCTGTGATCTTTTTCAGATACTGACATGTCACAGCCCGGAGTAGCAATCTTCCACACAGTGTACGCCATCTACCATCTAGCTCGGAGGGCATCAGGACGTACGCCCGGCTCGTCGTCGTCTTACATGCTCTTCGCCTCGTTCTTCGATGTCTCCATCGTTCCCCTCTACGCCTTCAGCGCTCTGGTAGCCAAGACTCAAGAGGACGGCTGGAAGACCGTTGTCGCCGACGAGACTCTCGTCACTACTTTCAGCAAAGTAGTCTTCTACCTATCGACAATCGGAGGTGGACTACATCTCTTTTCCCTAGCAATTGGCCTCTACCTGGCCGTGACCTTCCGCAAGATTACAAAACTCCCCCCAGATATGAATCCTTTGGAAGACAACCTCACCTCCCGGCACAAGCGCAATAAGTCCTCCGTTTCAACCTTCGCCTCTAGCGCCGCCTCGGAAAAACGCAGCTTCATGCCCATCGAGACTAAGCGAGCTTCGGGAGCTGCCCACGAAGAAGACCTCTCGCACCCCCCAACTATCCCCTTCTTCCACACCAGAACGCAATCCTCCACCTCCATCTCAACCTATAAAACATCACAACCCCCATCCCGAGATTCTCATGCCAACTTCCCCGGTCCACAATACCAAGCCGTGCCCTCAAATTTCTCCCCCACGCCACTCGATCAGCAAAAGCGCACATCCTTCACCTCATATTCCTCCCCACCAAAATTCACCACACACCATCCATTCGCCGGCTCAGAGATCCTCTCCAGCTCCATCTTCGCCCCGGCCGCAAAGCACAATCCGTACGCCACAACCGACCACCCAATCCCCTTCTCGCCACCCCCCAAGCGAGCCTCATACCTCGAATCGCACGTCTCCTCGGCCTCCTCCCTCCGCTCCTCAATAAATACCGACCTCAAATCCTCCAACAACAACTCCCCCACCTCCCCCTCTTCTTCCACCTCAGCCCCCTGGTTCGCCTCCGACTCCCTCTCCAAGGCACGTTCGCGCTCCTCTCCCGGCAAAAAAGCCAAGTACCAACCACTAGACCAACACCACGACGGCGCCTGCGAGAACATCACATACGACTACGACGGGTCCTCATCGTACGACAGCCACGATCACCCTAACCCGCTCGAGGCGAATCCACCGACCCCCGTACACAAGTGCGCGGGCCGCCGAGACTCGCCGCTCGGCGAGAACAACGCGGACAGAGGCAGCGGCGACATCACCGACATCCCCATCTCGTCGCGGGAGAACGACAACGACAACAACAACGATACCGCCAACGATAACGTCGACAACGGCGAGGGTCACCCTTCCCAGAATCCAAAGCAGCAGCAGAACCCAAGCCAGAGATTCCGCGACAGAGACCTTATCCCGCGCCCACTATCCCAAAACCTGCGCGACCGAGCCAAGGCGTACGGGGAGCTGAAGCTGCCCAGGCTGCCCGCCGGCACGCCGCCCATCATGGTCGGCGGGAAGGCTGGGAACAGGCAGGTCTCGTCCGGCAACGACTTTGCGATGATGAAGAGCGGGACGGGTGGGAAGGGCGTCCGGGTCCGGGATGTCAGCGGCAAGGTTGCTGAAGAGGGACGGGGTGGCGGCGGCGGCATTGATTTGGGCGGTGCTGGTGCTGGTGCTGCTGGTAGTGGCTCAGGTGCGAGGCTTCGGAAAGTGAGTGGGCAGTGAGTGTGATATGAGTAGCAAGCACAAGCAGTTGGTTGCCGGCGTTGTTGACAAGAAAAAAATCCTCGACCCGCTCAAGAAGGGGAAACAACGGTGGCAGTGGACGAGGGTGGATACGTGTGGTTTTCTTGCATATTTGGGTGCTTTTGATCTACTTTTGGTTGGTTGGCTGTTTGGCTGGCTTATTGATTTAAAAGAGGCGTTTTCTAGTTGGGAAGGAACAACAGTACATATACGGATGGTTGTATGGCAAAGAGATGTATGTATGTATGGATTTTGTACGGGATCTATCTGTATGTGTTGATCGGGGGGGGGGGGGTATTTCGAGAAAGGAAAGACGGAGCTGCTTGCTTGCTTGATGTCTTGTCTGTACAACATGAAAGTAGAGAGAAAATTCGATCCGAGCCGAGAAGATCGATCCCTGCCTGCCTGCCTGAACCCGTGAAACGAGAAAAAAAATCCTCAGCACTTTCTTTGTTCTCCAAAATGCAGCCTGGACCAGCAGGATAGATAGGTCGATCAATGGCCCCTGCCAAAACGCCTGACATCCGACCCATTTCTCAGTCCTCCTCCCCCTCCACTTCCCCTTCCGAACCCTCTTGCGCGTCTTGATCATCAGTATACTCTTCATGTTCCTCCTCACCAAGTTGAGTCGCATCCGGCATCTCAAAGTCATGCTCTTCCTCAGCCGGTTCCTCAGCTTCGGAACCCCCCCCTTCTTCTTCTTCCCCTCGCCCCCCTCTCCTTCTCCCTCCCTCCCTTCTCCCACCTCCATCTCAACCTCTTCCATCTGTTCCCTCAGGTACCCCGCCCAATCCGTCCCTCCTCTCACAACGCCCCCGTCCTCATCAACAACATCGCCCTCCCTCCACCCGACCCCGTCCCACTCCCCAAGCGCACAAAGATGTCTCATAGTCGGCCTCCCGTGCGGACAATTCCACGGCTTATCCAACTCCCCAAGATGCCTAACCACCTTCCCCATCTGCCTGCCCGTAAGCGTCTTGCCAATCATAATACTACTCCGGCAAGCCCTCATTGCGAACATCTTCCGCATCTTGCTCGGCCGCGGCACGGGTCCCGTACCAGGCGAGTATTCCGCCAGCAGTGCTATTAGCTCCTCAAGGTCGGTGAGTGAAAACGCCGTTTCACGCGAGATGGGCAGGGAAGTGAGTTGGCAGCGTTTCCCGACGGGGGATTCACCCGTCTCGTCGACGGTGATGATGAATCCGTTGGTCTCGAGGGCTGAGAGATTCTCCATGACTATCTCTTCTTCGAGAGCCGTGAGGTCGAGGGTTTTGGGGTAGACGAGACGCTGGGATTGCACAATCGTCGTAGCGTAGAGACGCTCGAAGTTATATTTCTCGTCCGAGGCATGCTGGTCGATGATGAACATGTCGTCTGCTGTCATGACGCCATCTTCGCATTTCGAGCCTGATGCTCGAGTCGCAAGGATAAATCCTAGGTTAAACTGGCCAACGATCTTCATCTTGGCGAAGTCGGATTTTGAGATTATGAGTGATAATTTCTCTTCTGCTTGCGCCGAATCTAGTGCTTCGTCCTTAGCTTTCTCGGTGACTGCGACCTGGTATTCAGACAAGGCCCGGTTGAGAGCTTGATGTTCCGCAGCAATCTTAGATATGTCAGTCTCCACCACTCTCACCAGGTTGAGAGTTGCATCTTTCTTTCTGGAACCGCCTTTGAGCAGCGACTTTGCACGCAGAGTAGTCTCCTGCGATGGCTGTACACCTGACTTCTCAGCTTGATCGATGATTTCTTGGACTTTGGCTTCTTCAAGGGCTTTCTTCTGCACCTCATCAATGTACTCGGCGTCCTCTTCGTCGTTATGATGTGGAGGGATCGAAGAATCCAGATCGGGATCTTGCTGCTTAACGGAATCGATTTTTGGCCGAGGCGTCTGAGGGACGAACAGCCCCTCGCCGTCATCATCTGGGATATCCATGGGCCCGTCGGCCTCAGGTGAATCGGTCTGAGGAGATGCAGGAGCAGCATTTGCAACCTCTGAATCCGAGCCATCTTCAATGTCATCAGCAACCACAGACCGTGTAGTAGTCCCAGAAGCTGCAAACATCTGACTCAGACTACTCCCAAATGTTGGTAACGGTCCCTTTGCAGTCTGTGCCTGCGAACGACGGCTGCTCGGAGCAGAGCTAGATAAATTTTCGATACGAGCTCTCTTCGCCGGATATCCAATTGTGCTGGTAACAGTATGGTCCCCGATAGTAATTGTAGCAATCTCACCAGGCGCTCGTTGCGTCCTTGCTGTACTAGAGAATCTATCCGCGATCGACGGAGTAGGCTTTGGAGGCGACCCGAGTGCAGGAATATCCCTCTCGGGCTCAACTGATCTCGATATAGACCTAGAATCATTCCAGACAGAGCTCGAGATTGTCGGTGCCTCGGAAGTTCCCTTCGAGAAAATAGGGACCGGAGGGGGCGGCTCCATATTAGAAGCCAAATCACTTAGAGACTGTGTCCCTGCAGCAGAAATATCCGATTCCGCAGAAGACTCAGGTACAGCCTCTCCCTGCTCCTGTTCACTCTGATTTCTCAGCTTCGCAAGTAGTCTACGCTTCTCTTCTGACAGACCAGGGGGCGCCGAAACAGCTTTCTTTGGCAGAGCCGGGTCTTCCTTTTCTTTACCTATACGGTCCTCAGACCTTCGTCCAGCCCACTTCGAGATCAAGTTGGCAGCACTGCTGTCCCTACCCATGGAATCCCTAGACACAGCACCTCTAGGCTGGGGATTGGATTTCTTGCTCGGCGTTTCATCGTCGACGCTCTGCCCTCGTCTGCTAGATGACTGAACCGATCCTGCATCTTCGGACTCCTCCCTCTCAGCAATCACGGCTGGAGACTGCGAAGTCCTCGGAGAAATGGTGCTATTTTCCCGACTGATAGTCAGCTGCTTATACGCCAACTGCTTCTGCGCGGGCAACTGTGAGATTGGAACCGTGTAATCCTGACTCTCGAACAGCTTCGTCAACTCCTCCTTAAGATTCTCCAGCATACGATTCTGGTCATGCAGTAGAATAGTCCGCTTATCCGGACTAACATTGACATCATACAGATGCGTATCCAGCTCGATGTTCGCAAAGATGAACGGCGACTGCGTACCGTTGTACGCCTTGTACACCTCGTTGAACGCCTTCGCTACCTGCGGAAGTCCACACGGCCTCGCATTGACGAAGAACATCTGTCTATCAGGCGTCTGTCTCCCCTCCCCAGAAGCCGGCCGTGAGACATGCCCCGTAATGCGGATCTTCTTCGTGTCACCATCATCCTGCGTACTCCATTTCTGAGATGGCGCACTCGTAGCGTCCAGCTCAAGATTCAGATCCAGCGGTATGAGCGCCGTAAGCGTCTTCGCCCCAAACACATTCACAATATTCTCCCTCGTGCTCTGATTCCCCTTCGTCGAGAACAGCGTCGTCTTTTTCCCTTTACCCGCCTGCTGCGACACCGAGAATTTGATGCCCGTCTGTATGCAAGCATACTGGCCCAACACGCCCATCACCCTCGTCCATTCTCTCTTGATATTCCGTTCCAGCTCCCTCCTCCTTACGGGTAAATTATTGAAAAGGTTCTCCACCGAGACCAGCGTCCCCTTTTGCGCAGCCACAACGCCCGTCCCCTTCAGCATGCCCGAGACTTCAAAGTCGAGTTTCGTGCCTTTCGGCGCATCGGCCGCCATGCACGTCACGACCGAGAATCTCGACAGCGCACATAGCGACGACAGCGCCTCGCCACGGAATCCAAACGTCTGCAGTGTCGTCAGGTCGGAGTAGGTCGACAGCTTCGAGGTGTGGTGCTTGAGGGCCAGGGTCTCGTAGTTGTGCGGGGAGATGCCGTCGCCGTTATCCTGCACCTCTATGGAGTCCAGGCCTTGGTTCCTGAACCGCACATCTGCGAAATTTCCTAGCTCAGCTTATGGGTCGCATTATGAGGGATTGGAGGCGAACCGATGCTCGTCGCCCCTGCGTCCAGGCTATTCTCGACCAGCTCCTTCACTACGGAGCATAAATCGACAATGACCTGGCCGGACTGGATTTGATGGACCTTGGAGACAGTCAGCGGGATAATTCATCGCAGTAAAAAATGTGTTGTGAGTACCGTCTTGCCCTCGATCGCTTTTATGGTCGCCATGTTGTCATGGTTGGCTGATTGAGGGTTTCCTGTGAGACGCGTTGAACGCGACCGTGGTTGACGCGAGACCCTAGTTCTGCGGAGTGGGTGCTCCTCCTCCCCCACCACGGTCACCTAGGTAGTACCCATCTTCACATTCATCAAGTAGTAATAAATCACAGAAGGGTTCAAGTATAGCAGCTCAATTCTATCTCAGCCTTAAAAGCTTCGCTATGAGCTTCAATGTCTGCTCCCACCCCTCCACAAAGCACGCCATCTATCCAGCGCGCCCATCCACAAGGCTTCTTCTGCATACAAAGTCCCATCCGTCCTCAACCCAACCAACTCCAGCCAGACCAGGTAGCCAGCAAGCAAGTAAAATTAAACTGGAACCTGTCCCAGGCTCCCCGTAGGAAACAAATATACAACAGAACCGCCCCAATTCCCATCTTGAGCCTCCCGTGTATGCTCACCCAGGTGTGAAAGAGGTCTAGACATTAAATATACCGCCAGCAGGGGGCGCCTCTCAGGCTTCGCCGCGGTGATGTGGTATTCGAAGCAGAAAAGTGGTACAACGACTAGCGCGCGAGCCGCGCGAGTGTAAATGCATGCAGAATATGGATGGTACTGTAGTTGCCGCCGGAGACCTCTTTATTCACACTGGCTGCAAAACGCGCATCCGTGTGATCCGCAAGGACGAAGAAGAAATCTAGAAAAGTCTCGCGTAAGGAGGACCGAAAACGCCCGCATATGCTGTGCTTGAAACGCCGGTGGATGGAATCTTAGGACTCTGGTTGGTCCAAACTTAAATCTAGCTTTCGTATCAAAGGATCGACAACTCCTCCGTAGACATGAGGAGGAAATGCAGCATCGTGTTGTGAAATCGTATATTCGAGGGGCTTTTTTTTGTGGCTGGTGACATACTCAAGGTGTCTTTCCTCGTTTCCGGTCAGTCTCTGATCCGTCTGAATCGAACAATGTGCTCAGGCCTGTCAGAGTCCACGAGGAGGTGGTGGAATGGATTGCCACAAGCCATGCCACGACGAAATTGACGAGATAATGAAGCATGTATGCATACGTGACTCCATACACAGCAGCGTAGATTGCGATGGCGAAGAAGAAGATGCTGGTGAAGTGACGGAGGCGCGATGTCATTCGTGGCACCATCTTCCCACTGGTCAGTGTCTCAACCAGAAGGATGAATGGCATTATGGAAAGGACGTTGTGGTGTGACGAGAACGGGGTAAGCCATTGCACGGCCAGGTTATGGACCCAAACCACAAGGATGGGGAGATTGATAGGGAGAATCCAGAGCATGAGGATGAGGATCGAGTGTGCGTAATTGTGGAAGTTGAAGTTATTGTTTGATCGCGCCTCTCTGGCGAAACGCAGGGCACGAGTGCAAGTAGCGAGTTGTACGAGACACGCGACGAGATATGCGAATTGGTATGGAATGACTGTTGATACTAAGAAGAGAAGTAAAGCAGTAGTCAAGATACGTCGCCGGGGCGTTGATGGGGCAAATGCTGAAGATGTCGCCCTCCTCTTATCTTCGTTACGTAGCCAGGCGGGCTTGAAGCTCAACCAGCCGTATACAATACTGAAAATGTGAGTGAGCAGCAGAGTTGCATAATTCATCATCACACAGACTCCCACGCACACCAGGCCGATGAATGGAACCATGAACCAAAAGAAAGGATCTGGTGAACCAACAAGAAGGTCATTCTTGGTAAAATCTACTTGAGTCTCGGTAGCGTTTCCTCTCCAGCCCCAAAATCCGGAAGAAGTGGTTTCAGATGGAGCTGAGCTATTGTGGGCAAAAGATACCGCCAAGCAGGTGAGTGCCAAAAGTATCAGAGGCAGTGATTGACGTAGACACAAGTCCAGACTCTCGGAAAAGGGCATGAAAATTCCCTTTTCGTCGTAAACTCGAAATTGTTTTCTCAGAACCAATGCAACAATCAACATTGGAAAAGCAGCAAAGACAGTCCTATATCGCATGTAAAGCTTTCCCATGCTGCCCGGGATATCGACCTTCAGGGCAATTTTGACGCTAGAGTCGCACGTAGGATCCGTCCAGAACTGGAGGCTCAGCCCTTCTTGGAAGCTCTTTTCCGTGAGCGAAGGCGGCATGTATGGTGATACTCCATGGAGGTTGATGTCTGCTTGTTTGACGTTCACAAAATACTTCGATTCGTATGGGCTGGAGATATATTGACGGAGTAAGGGTGTGAAAAGTTCCGCCTCTTCTCCACACACCTGGTTACCCATCTCGAGCTTGTAGGCAAGCAAGCTTGAGTGCAGTGCCGGAATCTTGACTTCAGCTACCATGGGGCGTTTTGCAGGCAGTTTGAACTTCATCCCAAACGCCAATAGTCGTCGAAGTCCCAGGGACCGCACTCGGTGTGATTGCACGTTGTCGCTAAACTCGGCGATGACCCAGCCTGGCGTAGGATCTACTGCTTTGTCAACTATAGCCACGAATTGATGGTCCATAATGTCTTCCAAATCGTATTGCAGGTACGAGAACGGCGTAATTTCCGCTTCTTGGTCCAGGTAAAACGGTTGCTTAGTTGCCCTATTCGATGCTGGTAAGATGATTACATCAGAAGCCGCGTTTTTGCAAGCCAACCTCGTCGTCCCTGTGCTGTCCCCCGACAGATCCATGTTCATTGAAAACAAGGTCGCTGACTGTCCAGGGTGGAGGGGAAAGACACTGCAGAACAGTACTTCCAATTTCCCAGCATCGCCGGGCTTGTCCAGTTTCTGGTCCGTCAGAAGTGTGAACCTATTTCCTCCAGGCGTTCCTTGTGGTGGGATAGGTAAAAGGTGCGCTTTCGGTCTGCGATTCTGCCCAAACTTCCTCAAAACCAACCTCTCCTCTTGTTTAGTGATTGAACCGTCCTCCAGGGTAAGGAGGGTCGTGGGATCCATGTTTGAGAGGGTCTTTTCGGCAACACTCTCCATTCCGGTCAAGTACCACTTTTTGAAGGCTCTCATCCTATCGGCTCGCGGCTTCGTCTGCGCAGGTCGGTTGGCGTCAATGACATCGTATAACGACCTGATAACGACCTTCCGAAATTGATCACACCACAGAATGGCTTGATGATCCATGCTAGTCCAGACGGTCGGCACAGACGAGGTAAAGACCGTAAATCCATGCGTATCGGGAACTAGAGATTCCAAGCTCGCGTAGTCTGAAGGAACCACGGAATCCAGCCCTCCACCAGCTATGGAAATCAAAGTGACATGCCAAAGAGGGTTGTTGTTTGCCCACTTCTGGGAATATGCCCCTCTCCAATAATCGTTGATTTTCTGATATGTTCGAACAATCTCGGCATCGAATGACACGGGTGGACGCGCGTGCGGCGCAGACATGGTGATAATCGTGTTGATCGAGTTCGACTGGTAATTTGGCATGACCAGCATAGTTCGGGCTACTATACCACCCATTGAATGCCCTAAAATGATCACCGATGTGGGGTCCGGAAGATCAGCGTCTCGTCCGGACCTCCGCGGGTCATGGTAGAGGGACAAGATGTATGCGATTGCCTCGTTCAGGTATTCGGCTTGATCTAGCAAGGTCTGGCCATGGAAAGCTGTGATGTCCTCGTTGAAGTCGACAGTGAAGAAGTCCAGGTTTCGAGCACCGCCCTTAATTGCGTCCTGGTCATGCTGGAGGATATCGTAGAAATAATTAGCCCCCTCGGCGGCAATGGGTCGGACCTGCTTGTAGCTACCCGCATTACCAGGAATGAAGAGAACAGGCACACCTTTTACCTGGAGGAGAAAGGCTGTTAGCATTGCTAGAACTATTGTCCGTGCTCCTTACCTTTGTATCTTCATCAATCATGCCTTCTCTGTACAAGTAGACGGAATATTTGCTAGCGAAGCGCGTATGCTCCGTGTCAAAGTCCGAGAGCTTTGCAAATGACGGCCTCATGTATGACATGCGACATCCTTTAGTGTCCATTTGCTTATTGGAGAACGAGTGTATGACGGAGGCCAGTGAGAGCAAGGCCAGCGCTGTTGTGACAAAGACCAGGGCAGAGATAGACCACGGACTGCGCAGCCTTGAACGTCGAGCATTCTGTCGAGATTCGGGCATCTTGTCAGACGAGATTAGGACGGGGTTCTCGGTAGATCGATCTTGGTCGACAGCAGCATTTCGCAGGTGGGCTGGCTTCCAATTCGTGCTGCTGGGCCGTCGACTTCTGGTCGTCGAATTCCGCTTGTCCGTACTTTTCCGTCTGTCGAGTTCGGGTAGGGTGCGTTTTATCTTGGTATCCAACCGTCGAACAGTGGTTGACTGGAGATCTGCGTCCTGGAGATCTTCGGGGTTGGAGAGACCGTCTGATCTTTCAGTAACCGTCTTGGACAGGGTGAGATCGGCGGCATTCGATGGAGGGTGATGGTGGTCGCCTTCGCCTTCGTCCTCTGCGGCGGATCCAGACGATCTCCTCCTCATCTAGACTGTAATTGACTGACTCTCCAGCGCGGTCGCGTTTGCGACAGTGCAGTGCAGTGCAGCGCAATCGCTCAATGAAGGGAGAGGAGGAGGACGATGTGATGGCGGTCAGGTCGGGTCGGGTTGGCGAGAGCGAAACGTGAGGTCTCCCGAAAATAGGTACGTACACATCCGGGACTGGGCGGGGCAGGGGGAGACTAGCGGTCTTGGCACTCTTGGCACTCTTGGTCCTCGGCCGGAAGACAAGTTGCAATCCCAATCAATATAAGTCAATATATCAATAGGGAAGTTGGGAATCCGACGACGGCTCTTGTTTTTCCGTATACAATGCAATACAATAATACAATTAATTTTCTAAAATGTTCCTCTGAAATGGATGCTAGTTATCCACTCCGTAGAGCTTTTAATCTCAGCGGTATCATAGCAAGAGAGTCGGAATTCTCTGTCGCTGTCGCTGTTACAGATATATCCATCCATCTGACCGCAGTACCGGTACCTAGTCTGACTACGGTACTGGTGTTTTTCGGACTAGGCTGTTGTTTCTTTCCGGCTCCTCATCTGGCAGGTACAGACCTGTGCCAATATGCTGTCGTCAACTACCTATCCACCTACTTACTGTAGGAGCGGTTGATTGCTTCATCAAGTGCAAGATATAATACTTAGTGCATGCTTATCTGCGTAGGTAGTCAGTCATGTACCTAGGTAGATACCACTAGCTACGTTTGACCAAGACTCTCTTATCCTTATCCGGGTCTTGGAACGAGCTCGGCAGAATAGATTGGCAAAAGGGTGGCTAGGCGATGAAATCTCATCTCGCCGCTCAGGAGAAGTACTCTGTAGAGAACTTGATACGGATCTGGTCGGATATCCGCAATTGAAGAAGAGCCAAAAAGAAGGAAAAGAAAACAGAAGAAAAGCTCCATTCCCTAGATCTGTTCTCGTGATCCTCGAGGTCCGTACAACCTACCTACATACAGCATACCTACATACATACACGTTACACCTCTCTCCCGAGCAGGATATCATCATATATATAACATGTACATTCATAAGATTCCGATCGATTTCGCGCCATCGCCATCGTCAGAATCAAATCCACCCACGCTTCTCGCCGCTGATGGGACGAACCCAAAGCACACAGCCGTGTCACAGCAAAGCTTGTTATTACCCTTGTGGCGCATCCACGGATACTTATCTGGACTGCAGCCACTGGAGAGCAACAAAACAAAACAAAACAGCCGACGAAGCGAGCGAGCCTGAAAGCACCTCTCGCCACTTCTCTCGCCACTTCTCTCGCCAGAAATCTTGTGCAACAACAAAACCCGGGCCTGATCAATTCTTAAATAAGTAATAATTGAATAAGTAAATGAATGGTCCCGAGAAACCCCGCATTCCCATTTTCCCATTCCCTCACGTGTTCATATCCCCCCCCTTCCAACCTCAGGCCACCCTTTCCTCTCTGTACTATTCACTATAAAGACGTCTCTATTCTCAAGGATGGTTGCATTCAATCCCTTGCAGTTACTCTCCCTTTTCAATCGTGAATCCCGTCTGGCTATTTCCGTTCAGTGACCCCGCCCCGCCTTGACTGCAATTGAGCTACATCTTCGTCCAAGGAAGTCAGTCTACTTCCACCCGAGTATCATCTGCGTATTCGGAACGTACTCTAGTTGAAATCTTCTACATTCCCAGTACTTGCACATCTTCCACCTGTCGCAATGTCGGCAGAACCCAAGATCCTCGGCCGACGTCTGGAAGGCAAGGTCGCCATCGTGACGGGAGGTGGATCCGGATTCGGAGAAGCCATCTCGAAGAGATTTGCTGGGGAAGGGTGCAAAGTCGTCGTAGCCGATTTGGAGTAAGCTAACTCAAAGCCTCGCTTCCTGCTTCTAATTCCCTCCTGGTCGAATTGTAAATGATTCTTCGGCCTAGAAGCCTTCAAGTATCAGGTAAGTCAGGTCATGGCCGTGTGTCTAACATCTCAAAACAGTCCCGTCGGTGGCGAGAGAGTAGCAAACTTCCAGCCCCGCAGCATGTCCTTCATCAGTACCGACGTGGCCAAGGAGGTCGACTGGGAGAACCTGCTTGAGAACACTCTTGATAAGTATGGTCGAGTTGATATCTTGGTCAACAACGCCGGAACGAGCTACAAGAACAAGGTTAGCTTTGCCTCAAAACATGAGTTGCAAAGCTGCAACTTGCTCTGGTAATGAGACTGATCGAAAGAAACATAAAGCCTACAGCCGAAGTCACCGGAGACGAATTCGACAAGGTCTTTGCGGTGAATGTCAAGAGCATCTTCCACTCCGCTAGGCACTTCATTCCCAATCTCATCAACCAAGGCGAGGGCGGATCGATCATCAACATTGCTTCTATCGGTGCCACAAGACCCCGACCAGGACTCGTTTGGTAGTAGGTGTTCTCTGAGCCTAATCTTTCCTTCAAGGTCGCTGTCTTTCAAGTTCATGGCTGCTGCTAGACCTTGACTTAAAACTGCTGACTTCTTTCCCATGCCTACTCTCTTCACGACAATACTGACTCTGAGAACCCACCCAGCAACGCAAGCAAAGCCGCCGTCACAAACGTCAGCTTCCCTCCCATCACCATCTCTAATCAAAAACACTAACAATATTCAGGCTACGAAAGGTCTAGCAGCCGAGTACGGCGAGAAGCAAATCCGCGTCAACGCCGTCTGTCCTCTTCTAAGCGTTACCGGCCTGTAAATCCGTCCCTCCCTTCACACCTACCCTACCCTATCCCGTCCTATCCAGCCATCCACGCGTATTCTAACGAGAAACCAGCTTCGAGACCTTCGTCGGCGTGCCCCCAACCGAAGACAACGTTAACAAGTTCATCACCCAGGTCCCCCTCGGACGCCTTACCCACGTCACGGACGTGGCCAACTACTGCCTCTACCTCGCGAGCGACGAGGCCAAGTTCGTCACGGGCACCTGCCTGGAGATCGATGGCGGAAAGGGAATCTGAGCTCAGTGAGTAATTGACACTGCGCTCATGTTTGTATTTTAGAGAGAGAGGAGGGGCTAGGGGGTGGGGGGGAGGAAGAGAGAAACAGCGTTGAATAATTTTTTTTTTTATAAAAAAAAAAATCTCGCAATGGTCAATCGGTTCCACATATCCAATCAGGCCTTGGGGAATTCATTTACTTGCCTTGAAGCCCATAATATACCAACGTGACAGACAGACAAACAGACACTCTAAACTCCACCCACCCCGTACACCAACATGAAATCCAAATTCTCTTCCAGAAGCGACAACAATACTGGCTGGTAGGAAGGAAGTGAACGAATGGGCAAGCATCGTTGTCAATTCTCAGAATTTTAAATTTCAAAAGAAAAAAAGAAGGAAAAAAAAAAGGCCAAGCCAGACAAATCGTTGCAGGTCCAAGTAAACGCCGTGCATTACATGACTTCTATCCCGAAAGTTCAGAGAACCCACGTCAGATCGGATAGCGTAAGGCAGGCAAATCAAAGAGCAAAGAGCATAAAAGCATAAAAGCATAAAAGCATAAAAGATAGACGATTAAATAAATACACGGTAGACATGCCCGCCACTCTCTACGGAGTACTCTCCACCCCCGCCTTCGAAACTTGCAAGGATCCAGTATCGAGCATCGAGGAATCGAGCAAGCAAAAAAGGGGAAGGAAAGGAATGATCGAGATGAGAAATTTCCGTTCGCAAATCTGCTTGCTTGCTTACTTGCTTGGAGAGTGCGAGGGAGGGATGGAGAGAGGGATGGGATGGGGGGAGAGAGCAGGTGTTTGTTGATTTTTCCCATCTCGCTTACTTATGGAAAGTAAGTGAGTAGGTAGGTTCCTTCCTCGAGGCTAAAAAGCGACGGAGGAGGAGCTCTGGTGAAAGAAAAGATGCCTTGAGGAGAGGAAAGGAGAGGATGTGATATGATGTGAGTTTCCTGAGCGGAGTGCCTTGGCGGCTGTAGGCTGTGGGTTCTGATAATTTCATGCTGGGCTCGCCATCTGGGGTAAGTCGATTTTGGTAGAGGCCCTTTCTTTGGGGGGGGGGGGCTTTTTTGGGGCTTTTACGGCCCCTACCTCTGCAGCCATGCCTCTGGACGTTCAGAAACATGAATCTGATGTTAAGCTTGGAGTACAGATCGGCGTATGGTCTTTGTGTCCCAAGGGGAGTGTTTGTATTTTGGCTATTTATTTACTTTGACTCGATACTCTGGTACCTATCTTCCTCGTCCGAGGAGTTGGGGCTGGGCTGTTCCTTCGTCTGCTGCGTTTGTCCCGCCCTTGAATAGCCATCGTCCCTGGAAACTGAGCGATGTGAGGAAGAGAAGGCTTCAGGGCTGCGCCCAGCTCGCGAGCTCTCGGCCTCGAGTCTATCTTCGGCATCTTGCTCCTGTTCTTCGAAGCTGGGAAGGCCATCCTGCTCATCGTCGAGCTCCTGCGGCACACCACGGTCGGCTGGTTTCTCACTTGAAGCTCTTCCCCTAGCCGCCCGTGCACGTAGATCTCCATCGCTCCTAGATAGCTTCTTGCCCACCCTCCCTTTAGCCACCCGAGACTTCCTCTTCCTATTCCTCTCAAATTCTTCTTCTGTGACCGCCGTACCCAACATTTCCCACTCCGCAACATACCTAACATGGCTCCTCCAATCTTCTCTCTCAATCAACCCGTCTTTAAAGCCCTTCGGCGGTGGTCCCCCCGCAGGCTTCGCGTTGAACTCAAACGGCGCTGTCTGCTCCAGCAAATCCCACAGCCGTATCTCTTCCGCTTGGCTAGCATGCATATCGAAAGCTTCCGTATAAACGTCCTGTGCATCGCCAGCCATCTCTTCTACTTCAGCCGGGTCCAGCTTCCGTCTCTTGCTTGGCCCAGAATCGTCGCCGGAGCAGCTGGTAGCTCGGGGTGGCGTGCTCATGTACTCTTCGTCGGAATCGAGCAGTTCCGAGTCCAGCTCTGAGGGCGATGAAAGGTTGTCCTGTGTCCGAGGGAAGGTCCTGGGATCGAGGGAGCGTGATCGTGAACGCGCTCTTTCTGGGAGATCTCCTCTGAGGGCTTCTTCTACTTCTTCGTAGGTCAGGGTAGAGCCGCCGTCGTCGATCTTCACGTTACAGCGCTTTGCGCAGCCGATCCAGAACTCGTGGCTGTTGGCTTTCATGCCCAGGATTTTCAAGGCTGCTTCTACATCGTCCGCGTTAATCTCTGAATGCTTGACGAGATTTGAGCCCTTGGCTCGTAGCCTCGACTGGGTACAAAACAATACAGTGGCCACAAGCCTTTTCGTGATGTTGACAGCCAGAGAATGGAAATCCTCGAAGGCAGTCGCCCGAACGGCTGGCTTCTCTCCCGGCTCGGCAATGTTCTCCCAGTTATCCTCTTCGCGAGGAGCAGCGGAATTCATGAATACTCTACTTGAAAGCTCAAGCCATTTTCGGAAGTCCAGTAGGTTGGCTGCTGGAAGTACTTCACGCATCGCTTCCTCTCCTGCTGCGTCCTTACGACGCTTTTCAATTGCAAGCGCCACGTCCTCTGTGATGAGCCATGACTCGCCCCACTTCCCCTTTTCTACCTTTTGCTCAGCGAGTTCTTGAATTGTGGCGAGGGCATCGCCAGCTCGTTCTAAGAGAGCAGCACATTCATCGCTGACCTCCATCGCGGCCGGAAGCCCAGTGGACAGAACAAGTTTGCGACCTTGCGCTCTTCGTTCCATGGAGCCTTGGTGCAGGAGATTGATGTATTCCTGTACTTCATGCTGTGACTTGCTCCCGGTCCACTCCGCTATACCGGGGGTATCATTTTTCCCCAGTCGGTCCAGGGAAGCAAAAAATAAAGCTTTCTCGTGCTTCGTCCAAACCGATGACCCAATTTGGCTCTCTTCAAGTTTACTACTCGGACCTGCCCTCGACACCGCATCCTGGATTTCAGAGTTCAGAAGTTCTCGGTAATTGTTGTTATAGAAGCCCTTGAGAAGGTTCATGCGGGCATTTGGCGCAGGTTTCTGCGCCTTTCTCTTCGGCACACGAGATCCTCTCGGAGGTGTCTTGATGTCCTCTACGTTTGGCTCTTTAAAATTTGCAGCCCATGCCGAGGCATCTTGGAGATTTGGATCCTCCTGTTCTCCTTCAGGGTCAGATTCTGTAGCGGCTCGTTGTTTCGTGGCAGGTTTCTTGTTAGCTATGCTCCTGCTCCGGCTTCTACCCCTCGCTGAACCTGCCCTCGAGGCGGCTACTTCATCCTCGTCATGTGATGAGTTGCTATTGTCATCGTTTTCTGAGCCTATATAGGCTGATCCTGAGCTTTCCTCGAGAGCGTAGTGTCCTGGGTCATCTAACTCATCTCGGTCCATTCTGCTGTTCTTGCGGCCTCTTCAGGCGAATTCTATGGAGGTTGAGATCTAGGGTATCAATCTGCATAATTCTGTATTCCACGCGTGCTCAAGCAGTATGTCTCGGATCTCAGAAATCGCAAGCTGGACACCGACAAGGCTCGGAAGTTCGAAAGAGAAATGTGGACTGTGCTTGGCACAAGGTAACTCTTATTTTTTTTCTAGTTCTGAGCCGGGATATCTCGCCAAGAGTTGAAATAGTGCGCTTGCCGCGTCTAAAGACGTGCTATCGCGCGTCTCTGGCGTTTCCTATAGAGCCCCATAACGACATTCGGTGTACTCAATCCACAATATGCCTCCAGCATCAAGAGGATTGCTAGGAAGTATCCGAAAATGGAGAATTTGTACAGCCTCAATAATTGCCCGCCCTTATGCATCGATTTCTTCTGCATTGGGCTCAATTAAGCCTCCCATGAAGATACGCCTCCGAGAGTATCAAGAAGAATGTATTCAAGCAGTACTTTCCCATCTGAAGCAGGGGCACAAGCGCTTGGGTGTCTCATTGGCGACTGGAAGTGGTAAAACCGTATGTTTATTCGCGGATTACATATCCTCCTGACTAATGATCTAAGGTTATATTCACTCAGCTCATTGATCGCGTTTCATCCCCGAGGGAAGCAGATCAAACGCTGATACTGGCTCACAGACAAGAGCTAGTCGAGCAAGCCGCCCGACACTGCACCAATGCGTATCCTTCGAAGCGAGTCGAGATTGAGATGGGCAATATACATGCTAGTGGGCTCGCCGACATCACCGTTGCCAGTATACAAAGTATTTGCTCTGGAAGCCGCATAGACAAGTTCGACCCGAAAAGGTTCAAGTTGATACTTGTAGATGAAGCACACCATATTGTTGCTCCAGGCTATATGCGGACTCTGGATCATTTCGGCTTGTCCAAGGCGCAATCAGATTCCCCCGCTCTTGTCGGAGTATCCGCCACCCTGTCTAGATTCGATGGGATGAGGCTGGGTGCTGCAATTGACCAGATTGTGTACCACAAGGATTACATTGATATGATTGGAGAAAAATGGCTGTCTGACGTGATATTCACGACTGTTCAGTCAAAAGCAGATCTATCCAAGGTCAAACAAGGGGCAAGTGGTGACTTCCAGCCGGGGCAGCTCTCGCGGGTAGTCAATACGGAGCTGGTCAACGATATCACCGTCCGTACTTGGCTTGCCAAAGCACAAGGCAGGAAGTCTACACTGGTATTTTGTGTAGACCTGGAGCATGTGGCCGGCTTGACCAACACTTTCCGGAAGCATGGAATCGATGCTCGGTTCGTCACGGGAGATACTCCCAAATCAGAACGAGGTCTCCGACTGGATTCTTTCCGGAATGGCGAATTTCCTGTTCTCGTCAACTGCGGCGTCTTCACAGAAGGAACCGATATCCCCAATATTGACTGCGTACTGTTGGCTCGGCCGACCAAGTCGAGGAATTTGCTTGTCCAGATGATTGGCCGAGGGATGAGACTGTTCCCAGGAAAGAAAGACTGCCATGTCATTGATATGGTGGCAAGTCTTGAGACTGGCATTGTCTCAACCCCAACTCTGTTCGGTCTAGATCCTGCTGAAATAGTTGAGGCGGCAGATTTGAACGGCATGAAATCGCTACAGGACCGAAAAGAGGCTGAAGAGCTCAGAAACGAGGCTGTCGACAGGGACGTGCAGCCAAACTTTCAAGGTCAGGTTTCGGCTCCTAAGACAGTGACCTTTACAGATTACGATTCTGTATTTGACTTGATCGAGGACACCTCAGGAGAGCTACACATTCACAGAATGTCTCCCAATGCCTGGGTCAAGATTGGCGAAGAGCGGTTTATCCTCTCAAACTCAAGTGGATCATATCTGAAAATAGATACAGCGACCAATCAAGAAACAGGCGAAAAAGAATACGTCCTCACTGAAACCGTCGCCTTACCTCGCGCCATTTCCAAACAGCCTTACACTCGACCACGTCAGATCTCCAAAGGTGTCACCTTGGCCGATGTAATCCACGCAGCCGATACATTCGCGCAAAAGAAATACCCCTTCCTCTTCATCAATAGGAATCAAGCATGGAGAAAGAATCCCGCTACCGATGGGCAGCTTGCGTTTCTCAATAAGCTAAGATCGAAAGAGGACCAGCTCACTGCTGCGACGGTGACAAAAGGCAAGGCGGGCGAAATGATTACGAAGCTGAAACATGGCGCGAGAGGCAGGTTTGCGAGTATTGAGGCAGAGAAAAGGAAGGAGAGGAGGGTGAGATTGAAGGTGGAGCAGGAGAGGGCGATGAAGGATAGAGAGCGGGTTAGTGTTGGGCCAGTTCTGGATTGAAGAGTGAATCGACGTACGTATGTGTAAATTTCTCCTCATAGCGATACCCATAGAATTTTCTGCACTTCAAGTTGTATACGTGCTTATTTTTTCCATCTACCAAGCTCTGTGCCATGCCGAAATCTTGACTTGGGCAGGCTTTCATGCTGTGTTAGCATACACTCCCATGAGCCTGTTCCGCCTTTCACCCCTTGTGTTATGCAGCCAACGGAAGGACAGGCTTGAGCGCTATGTGAATCTCAATGGTAGCACAACCGCTTGGAAACGCTAACATCTCGGCTAAGCTTTCACAGGCGTTGACGCTTGTTTATATCAACAGTATACTACTATAAGCATCCCGCTGTAGCAGTCCCAATCGGCTATCTATCTTTCTTCGCCAGAAGGCGTAGTTGAGATGTCGTGTCTGAGTCTTTGAGCCAACATACTAACAGCGTATGCGTCGTAGACAGTTTCATAAGAGTGAGAGGTAGAAGGAAAACAAAGGTATGGTGCTTTCGAAAGATCTTATGCCCGCCTTGTTTATCACGTGCCTCAGCCCTCTTTACCTATTTCTACAAACTCTCCCCAACAGCGCTTCTACTTCTTCATACCACCGCAGCTTATTTTTCTGCAAAACAGGACACTCAACCGTCAACATGGAACCACCTGCGTTGCCTGAGTCTCAAATGGGAAAGCACGCTAGCACTACCGAGTATTCCTCTACCGAGGATTCCCCGGTACCGCATCCTCATCAGGAAGTTGCGACGGAGAAGGAGGTGGAGCCGGAGCCGGAGCCAAAGCCAAAGCCAAAGCGGCGCGGTACTCCATACCCCTTCCCTGAGGAGCCTCAAGGTGATCAATCCCCCCGATCAAAGCATTCCTGGCAACTGTACGACGCCATGGTGGCCGAATCCCATCTTCACCGAGAGGGCAGCGCTTCCGAACGTCGATCTGCGCTCTACGGCAAAATGATCAAGCACCACGAGAGCGCCATCGATAGCAGCGAAGAAGAGGCCGGGGCCGAGGCTGACGACAACGGAGGAGTTCCCGACTGGATTGCGAAGCGTCGAGATCTCTACCAGAATGCGCAAGACTACCTCTGCCCTGAACTTGAAGCCGAGAATCAAACATCATTTGCGGCGCTCCCTCCAAGCCCACCTTTGGACACGAAGACGGTCATTACCGCCGCATACGCTGAGATCTCCGCCGAGTCTGCCACTCCTGAGTTCCATCCAGCTACTCCTGCTGAGAGCGCATCTTATGTCAGAAACATGGGATACCAACACGTCGAGAGCGACGAGGGCGTGGTTGAAGAAGATAGCAATGGAGCGTCAGGTACGCACCTCCTTTGAAGACGATCTTCACTGAGTAGCCTTATATTTAGCCCAACATCGAAGGAGAATGCTAACTTTAAAATTGATCTTACAGGACAAGTAAGCGTCTTTGAGATTGGTAGTGAGAGCAGTGAGAGCAGTGACAACGAGCAAGGACAGACAACTCGCGCTCCCCAAGTCCATACATCGTCGCCTGTCGAAGCTACACCGGCCCGCACTCCGTCTTCTACTTCGAACAATCAAGCCAATGTCGAGATCGGAAATATCCCAAAATCAAAGGTCCCTGAGACTTTGGCCGAGTATGAAATGAATTCCACCAAGGTCCAGCGAGGAGACTTTACACCACTCGAAAACACACCTCGAGTCCAGGTGCGACTCGAAGACTGGAAAACCTACCCGCCGATGCCCAATTCAGGCTTCCAGCTTACGTCTGACGCTCATGATCCTAAGTATGCACATGTACACGAAGAAACTGGCCCCACCATGGTCTCTCGCAGTATGGTCAGAGAACTCCTCAATGCTGATGGATCTGAGTCCAAGGGTGCTGGTCAAACAACTCCTGCCCGGAGCGCCATGCCTGGAGATGGTACATCAGAAGCCCCCAAGGAGAGCCAAACAGCAGCAGCGAGCCAGATCCCAACATTGGACTTCCTCGGAGTGAATATCCTTGAATGCAGTGGCGAGGACGACGAGCTCATGCATTGTAAGATTTGCGGCAAGACTCACATTGAGCCGGGACCTCCAGTCACTCTCGCGACCCGTGACCCGTGTGGAGCTTTTCTTCCGGACTGGTTCCCAATTGACAGAGTCCCCGATAGACCATGGGAATTCTTCCGGATGATGATCAACGAGGTCAAACATATCGAGGACATTGAGGCTGGGCGTGCTACATTGGAAAAGAGTTGGGACAAGGAGTATCACGACGAGCACCCAAAATGGCAGGCTATTGGTCACCCACAGGGCGGTTGGTGGAATTGTCGTACGGGACCCGAAGCAACTGCGGCCGAAAGAATGTGCAAGAAGTGCCATAAGCAAAAGCCCCTAGCCGACCCAAACAACCCCCCTCCAGTTTACTTTACGATGGAACAGGTTCGTAACCGGAAGAAATCTGCGATGGACTGGATGGCGAAGCATCAAGCGGCCTACGCGGAGAAGGTGAAGGCTGAGGCTTTGCAAATGATCCGAGACAATGCCGAACCTCATCCATCAATGCCTCCACGCCGGGCCTATACCGTTGGTGACCTCCAAGAGAATCAGTCTCCAGGAACTGCTGGCAAGGGTAAGGAGGTTGAGATTGGAGACGAGCCTAAGTCAGCGGAGAGGATGCTTCTCGAGGCAATGTGGAATCATAAAGGTCCATTGTCGACTCTCGTTATTCCGACGCCAGCCTCGCCGACCGAATCGACTCCTCCTGACGACGAGGGGCTGATGATGCGAACTCGATCTCGCGAGCCACTCCATAGCGCAAATAGCAGTCTCGGCTCTCAGCCCATCTCCTCGTTCCTCAGCAAGTCGCCCACGACTTAGGAGGTGGCGAAGAGAAGAGTCGTTGGTGATGATTGATGACTTTGAACTTGCACGAGCGTTTGGTTTGAGGGGATGTGTACCCAGGGATATGGATGCGTATGGCGTCTTTCGTGATTCGCAGCACTGTCTTTCTTTTCGTCATTTGCAGGATTGCACAGTATGGGCAGATTTACAGGGTTAGCAATGGTCACTCAACATGAGCAAGCACGGGCTATTCTTTCTTTGCTACGACGATGTAGCTAGGTGAAATGCAAACCAATGGCTTTTTCATATCTGTGCTTCCAGAGAAAGGTTTATGTCTCTTCCTAGGTGCGAGGTGGGAAATTTGGCTTGTTGGGGGGGGGGGTTGGCCTCTTTCTCTCTCTCTCTTTTCATACAGCGTCGGCGAGGTTACGAACTGCGAGATGCACAGAGCAAGAGCCAACCTACCGTACCTACCTAAGCCCGGTAATAATAGCTAGCTCGGTAAGCCAGCTTCCTGTGACCGGATACGTAGACCTACCGGTACCTACCTACCTACCTAGGTACCTTGCTTGCTTGCACCAAGCCCCAAGCCCCAACCCCCAAATACCAAATACCGGCACTACTACCTACCACCCACAACAGCCGAAGTCCGAGCGCGCAACTACGATATGCAACAAAAAACCCCCATTCAGAAAGCATCCAGCTGTCCTGCGTAAAAAGAAGTCCGGCTCCGGCCACCATCGATCCCCCCACCCCTCCCTCTCAAGCACCACCACCACCTGGGCCCTGGGGAGACGCGGGCCCGCAGAAAAAACAACAGCCCCTTCCTTGTCCTTCTCTCGGCTTCGCAACAACAACCACAACAACCACCACACGGAGGAGAGAGACAAAAGCAGCAACCGAGGTCCGAGAACTGCGATGTGCAACAAAGAAGAAGTTGGTCTCTCTATACGA